TTGGATTTCTGGAAAAATGTATTATTTGATTGTTCCAAAGATTATTTGAAAGGCATTTTTTCTATCCAGAAACTCCCATGGTGCACCTCTCCTCCCTATGGTCTCTTTCCTCTCCATATATTTCTAAACAGGAATCCATGGCCTGGCGTTTTCCCCTTCTGTCCTTTCAAACATCAGCTGGTTCAGAAAAATGGCCACGCTTCGCATTTCTGGTTCTAATGAAAGTTTAATCTTTGTAAAAAGAAGGCTTTTCTCTCAGTGACTGACTTGTTTTAGGTCAGGTAGGAGGACTGGCTGGAAGACAAGCTTTGGTGCAATCTGTACGTTTCTGTACATTTTTTCCAGTATAGAATTAGATTTCTCAGGATTTACGATTATTTTAGAATAAATTGGATTGCAATTGGCTCGATTTGGGATTGATCTCTTAAGTATCTTGAAATGACTTTTTTCTATGAAGTCAAAATGTACTTAATTGTCTGGCAGACCACTGATGTGGTCTGTTATGAATTCACTTGCATCTCAGACTAATTGAAAGTAGAGAAGATCAGTAATGGAAAAAATAAAGTCCACACACACACAGAGAGCTACTTATAGGCTTTAGTTACTGGAATTGCGCTGAAAACGTTAATGGATTTTCCTCTTAAGAGGGAAAAAAAAAAGGTCTCCGAGGAAGAAAGCAAGGTCATTTTGCACTTATAGAGATGAACAGACAGGCTGGATGTAAATGAGCTCTGACTGATCTTTAGAACGATAGGCCACAGGATGGACCCCGCCCGGTTTCTTTCATCAAAACGAATGCCCCTTTTAAAAGAGCCGGTCCTCCCTTTGCTGCATTCATCTGCACTTCCTGTCTTTAACAATAAACTTCCTTTCTCCAGTTTCCTGCATTTGGCTCCTCAATAAACAAGGTGCCCCAACGACAGGGTGATTGATTTTCGAATGAAATTCCTTTTGGCACAGACTAGAAAGCATAGCGCTGTCACCATATGGAGGAAGAATGTAATCTGTATCGTGTTTACTTGTTTTCTGTTTAAGCGACTCCCCATTATAGTTACTCAAGTGGAATGAGAGATCAATTCGAAATATGGAAAGTGAGAAAGACTTGGCTGCTGAGATTCTTACCAGCAGAGGGCAGAGCCACAATTTGTCATAACCTTTTTTGGAAAGTCTCCAAGCACTCAGGTAACAAACCAGAATGAGGTGAAATGGCTCATGTATACAGAGCTAATCGAAGAATTAAAACCAGGTGGTATGAGCAGACTGAAAAATGAAGGACCTCTAGTGGATAAAAGAATGATAGATTAAGGGGAAAAAGGGCGGAATTGTCTCTGATAAGCTTTAAAAACAAGAAAAACATATGAGTTTAGGAAATTGTTGTTATTCATGCCTCCTGAAATTCAAAACTAATCTCTTTCCTCTCTCAGAAAACTCAAATAAACACCTTTTTGACTGGGTTTAATCAGGTTGGTGCTTTAAAACATAAGGATGAATTGCAATGTTTTTTATTGAAGTGTCTCACAACATGAGAGCTTCATCATATTTTGTCCTGCAGCAGGATATCAAACCTACCACGGGAGTCTTTTCAAATGTTGTATCTTTTGGTTGGTTTCTGACTGAAAAAAATAAAAAAATGTATCCGACAATTTCAATCTTTATGTACAATTTCTTTTAGAAATATCTTCAAGGGTTGTGTGAGCAAGTGCATGTGAAAGCTGTGGTGATGTAATCTGAACAAAAATAGCGTTGAACACGTTCTTTTCCAATCAATAATCATCACCTTTTCCTAAAAAAGCGCTTTGTGAAAGCTAACGAAAGAGTCGGTGAAAACACGAACATTTCCAAGGATGGAAGCAGCCTATGTGATGCTGTTTGGGTTGGAAAATGTTTGGACAGACTTAAAGGGATCACAGGGAGATTTACCAATCAACACAACACACCATGCATGTAAAAAACAAAAGAGAAGTGCATGATGGGACTTTTTTCTGCACGTTTTGATGGAGTTTCTTTTGGGGACCTCTGGAATGCCTCACCCTGGGAGCTGGTTCCTGTTTGGGGCTGTCGGGGGGTCTCTGGATTAGATTATAGTGTTAGCAGGGCATAAACACAATCGTTTTTTTGCATTTCTGCGTCCCGGCAGCTTTTTCACATCAGCCCAGATCTCCCGTCGAGGCGAGCGAACACAATCTCCAGATTCTCGAGTCGTTTTTCCATCCGAACCAGAGAAAAATCCTACACGTGACCAGGTTTTAAAATTTAGAGCTGGAGGGTTGAATTAAAGGTGCTGTGCTTCAGATTTTGAGGTGTTTTCAAACTGATGGATTTAGCTCAGAGTGAAAAAACTGTTGTTCCGCTCACCATCCTCTCTTGTGAGAACATTTCAAGGCCTAAGTCAAGAGTCAAAATTCACTGAATGAACGGTTTAATGACAGCACAGCTCGCCTGTTTTTTTCTTTCATAAAAGTCCCTTTTCTGTTTTTCAATGTCACTGTCAGAGTTTTAAAAAATCCTGTGGGAGTGTTTTCATTTTCATGCAATTTCAGAGAAGTCCTTGAGCAGCATCAGTGAATGAATCTGTTCAAAAACATGTTTGAAGAAGCTGTTACATGATGTAAATGGTTCAAATGGTTGTCATAGAAGTTACAACATTTTTTTCTATAGCGAAAATCACTTGCAGACGACCTTTTATTTAATCAAGAAAAGTATTACAGTGCAGACATTGTTTTTTTAATAAAGAAAATGTTGTTTGATAGGGAACAAATTGATTTCCAGCAATCAAATAAAAAACAATTTTGTTTAAACGAAATTCTACAGCCTATAAATATTCCTCTGAGTTTGGTTTGGTGTCTTGCTTTTTCCACAATACCAACATTTTTCCAAACCCTTCTTCACCTCTGTATGTAAACTCTGTCCTATTCACCTGCTACGGGCAAAAGAAATGTTTCATTTTCCTGGTGAACTTTCTGGCATATTCTCTTGTCAATTTCCTTCTGAAAAAAGCTGTAGTCCTCACATGTCATTTGCTTGCTTATGTTCTCCTGACAGATTTTAAAGTTTACTAATGTGGCCATTAAAACAAAAAAATTTCTAAATAGATTTGAATTAAACATGCAATTCTTTAAATGATTCTAAAGTTGAGTTTTTCTTAATGGCTGTGCAAACAGAGCCTGATGGTTTACCATGTCATTAGGTCAGCTAATACTGTAGCACTCTCTACTTCTAACTTTGATGCATTCATCCAAGGAAAACTGTGCACTAACTTCACTATTTTACCATTTTTAAGACTGATTTTAAAATAAAGGTTGCTGTGATTTGCTGAAACTTAAATAGCACCTTAAAGAGCACATTGAATAAACCAAAATGGCCAAAGATCCACTCAAACTTGATCAATGCTGTCCAACAGGAGGCCAAAAGAAATTGGATATAGTGCATTTAAGCTATGCATGTGAATATCAGCGGATGCTAAAGCTTGGGTTATGTAAAAATCTCCATGTCTACACGCCACACCAATGAAGACCGCAACAGCTCCAGTTGGTCAGCCTGGTCACTATGTTTCAGTTGCTTTAATTACAGAGAAGAAATTTTGAGAATACAAGGAAGAACTTTTCTTTCTTTACGGTAGTGCAACATATATTAGACCTTACATCTGACAGAGTACAACAGACTGATACAAATAACGTCCACCAGCAGCACATTGGGGTTTTTTTCATCACTGGACCCAAAAAAGGAGTACACCACTGTACAATCAGACACATAAAGTAAAAGTACTACTCCAGGAGACGTGTATTTACACATTTACTCATGTTAAACATTGAATTAACACATTCTTGTTAACAATGAATAATCTTTATAATTCAGAATAATTGTAGGAAAATATTTGCAGATTCAGACAGCAAAATCATCAACGACATTTACAATAATACTGTACTCCAACTAAATTAATGCTGATTAGCATTAATAAAATATACTTTAAATACCTACACTTAGGAAAGTTTTCATCATTTTAGATATTTTTGGTAAACAAACAACAATGACTGAAGTACCTTTGAAATGGCACTTATTAACAGATACCATGATGGGGTTTTTTTTACTCCTCTAGCAAACATTTTTCGACAGGAAAAAGAGAATATTTTTTAAAGTTCTTTTCTTGATGTGTCAAAAATGCACCACAAAAAACACATTTTAAGCTTCTGATCCTCCTTGAATGCTCACTGATGCTTTGTGTAACGTGCGGGTGCCAAATGTAACTTTCCGTGTGGCTGTTTCTGTCTCCATGTCTAGATAATCATGTCATTTACAGATAATGGAAACATAAGACATCCACTCTACTAAAAGTTTGAGTGAGTAAAACTGGAATTTCAACATCTGCCGGAAGCTGTTTTTGCCTGCTGTTTAATTAATCACATTAAACATATGGTCTCTAAATATGCCCAAAATACAAACCTTCTTCTTGATATCTAAACATCAGAACCAATATTTCAAGATCAGAGAAAAGAACCAAGTTTCTGCTCAAGTTTGTCCCGAGTCTTAACTCAGTTTTGTGGACACAGGATGGTCCAGTTTGAGTCATCAGAAGAATTCTTACTCCCCAGATCCACTCGTAGTCATTGACCTTCAACATGTGTTATTTTAGTAATTAAAAATGATGACTAAGTTATCCCCTCGTGTCACATGACCTAAAAAAACTGATTCAGTAACATTTGTTCAAGAGAGAAACATCTGGTGATGCCTATATATTCTGAACAGAATCCCAAGAATTGACACTTTTTCCTCTTGTCTGTTAGAACTGATGACAAAAGATGATGAAGGAAATGAAAGAGAAGTTAAGTTTTAACTAAGGGTGTTGAAATGACAATCAAGCGAAGGGAAAACGTTTGGCTGACCACTTAAATCTGCAACTCGGCACGCTGAGAAGCGATCAAAACTCTTTACCAGTCACGGGATCAACTGTCCCATTTTGGATTTGACTACAGGAATCTAGAAGCCGCCAGCTTTTTAGGTGGTCAGGATGGGCCCTGTGGGCAGTTTTTAATGGTCAGGGGCTCGGAGAGCCGCGGCCCCTGCAGGCGGGACAGCAGCGTGGTCCGGCGGATGCTGCTGTCCGAGTCCTGCGGGTGGAACCTGCCCCTCAGCCGGCGGCAGCCCGGCAGGCTGCCCACCAAGTCCGACAGCAGGTTGCCGCTGAAAATCATGTAAATCCAGGGGTTGCAGCAGCTGTTGAGGCTGGCCAGCAGGGCGGAGAGCGTAACAATGGTGTTTTCTGAGTCTGCAAGGGGAAACAGGAAGACAGATTTGTGAGGCATGCCCCGAAATGTTGACCAATCCGAAGTGTGTGCTCTTCCACGAGGGGGCCACTGACATACTGTCCAATCCCAGCCAGCGAGAGCCTCACCAGAACTGGAATCAGGATTTATTGTACTTTTTAACACTTCTATATTGAAGAATCTTGGTGGAGCAGGCAGTGGATCACAACAAACTGTGCTCTACAATCACATTCAGCAAAAGTAAATCAGATGAAAAAAGGATTTTAGTCCAGGATCACTGTATCATCCTAAACATTAAGTGCTTTAACTCAACCAGTTCAGGAGAAGGCTGAGCTGATGGGGATGAGGGGACACTGCAGTCCAGTTCTGTTTAGTTGGAAAGCTCGAGTTAAAAAAGTTCTGTTTGCCAGTTGTCATTGAGATGGGAGAAGTTTGGTCCTGACTTGCTGAATGATTAAATATTAAAGCGGGTCAGAAAAAACTACCTTCTTTAAGTCCAAAAATGTGCTTTTTCACCTCACAGATAGCATGCTATTCTATTCAAATAACCAGTTCAGTCTGAATATCAACCCGTTTAGATGCCTTTCAATCTATCTGTTCTTGTTCCAGCACTAAGTTATAAAATACAGCTTCCTGTGTACAACTTTGCATACAACACAAGACCAGACAACACAAGAAACCAATGTTTTACTTGGAACTCTCTCACCCTAAAACCAGAAGTCAAACAAAAAGATGATGGCACAAAAAAGCCTCACTTTTCGCTCTTACATCTTATTGAATTTCCACAACCGGCTTTGATGTCGGGGAGTTAAACTGTGGATACTTGCGTCCTGAAGACTGCTCTATCTAACAAAAGGTCAGCATTATTTTGTACATGTGGGTTCTCTCCAGGTACTCTGGCTTCGTCCTACATAAAAAAAACAAGAAACAAAAAAAACAAGCATGCATGTTAGGCTGAGTGGAGGTTCTAAATTGTCCTTGGAGGGAATGTGAGTGTCTGTGGTCGTTCATCTCTTCGTGGACCTGGGATGGACTGGCTTTTTGCCCAGTGGAAGGCTCTAACCCCTGAAACCCCAACCCCTTTGCATGGTTGAGTCTGTGGTAAAGCAGGTCTGCAGAGGCGATCATAACCGAGATTTTCTAAGATCTTTTCCTTAATCTGAGACCTACGAAGGCACCAGGGTGACAGGGAAGATGGTTAAATCTGCTCGGCCTGGTTTACTGAGCTTCTCGCTCACATGAAGGATTTCATTATGGCGTTCTGGTCATGACTCATCGTGCCCAAATGTTGTCATTTGAGGCATTCTGAATGTGACATGTTTGATTCTTAAATCTTGTTTTTCAGTTCTATTTATCAGACAAGTAAATGCATCAGAAATTATGAATGCAACCAAAACAATGCTAAATAAGTGACGAATAAATTTGGTTTCAAGCACGCAAAGCATTTCAAGACTATGATTTTTTTCCATTACTCATCATCTTCGGATAGCAAATTTGTTTTCTTCTTGGATGTGATATGCGCGTTGGTCACATGATTTGGGATTTTTGAGGCATTACTTCCCACAGCGATAGGGGGAGCCAAAGAAGCGAAACCTTCTGCCAAACTCCTGGGGGGTCTTAGATTTGCATGGTGGAGTACAGGCATGCTTGTAGGGCTAAATGTTGAACTGACCAGGAGACTAAGCCTGGTGAACTTAGTCCCAGGTAACTGGAACACGTTTTCATCAATGAAAATCTGTTTTAATATTTGTGCTATATATTTTTTTTTTCTATTTTCTATTTCTAGTCCATTCCTAATGTTCAGTAAAGCTATTTAACTTAATTCAGCTGTTAATTGGACAGTACTCAATAAGTCTGCGTACTTAACTTGTGTTTTCTTTAACGTAACCAATTTCCAGAGGTTAAGGTTTGGGTGCACTTTTAATTCTCATTTGTTTGGCTTTAATTTCCCCTGTAAGGATTTTGTCTTACACACTATTTGGTCCAGCTTGTTTAACTAATTCCAGCTCACTAGATGGTTAATTCAGCTGCCATCAGAAATCTCTTATAAGCTTTTCAGGAAGTAGCATCAAATACCCGTTTTTGGTCGTAGCAAAGCTGTAATATCAACTGCTTGTAGCTAAAACAAAGCAACTGATTTATCTGAGCAAAAGTTCACTCACACTAAAGAAAGTGCTGCTTTGTTTGCCCACAAAGCAAAGAATATGTGAAAATAAAGAGTAAAAAATTGCCCAAAAGCAACATTGAATATTTATTATTATAGTGTTTAATGTAGGGTTCATGCAGGGATGCACTCAATAATAGACTTTTTTTTTTACACTTTACCATGTATGTTCTCATTTCTTAGCCTGACTGTGTAATTCCTAAACCTAGCCTTGAGCAAGCCATTTTCCCCTTTCATTCTTAGCACCTAAAGGCGAGTAAATGGGACTTCTGGCGAAGTAAAGAAGTTCCGGCTGAAGGTTATTGAAAATTTTTTTTATTTTTCCTCACAGAAACCTTTTAGTCAAAAGTTGGCTTTTTGACATATACCATCAATTTGGCACAGCCTCCGAGCACAGTCAATGTACATCTGTCTAGAGATGCCTTTTCCTTGAAAAGTGAAATGGTCTCATATAACATTATATAACATCATCCATGTCAAAATGGCTGCTGTGAGAGTATAAGAGTGGTGATGTAGCAACTACCTCCAAAACTTCCTGCAGAGATCAATCTTAGGTTAACTGTAAAGGATATGTATTGTATGTATGTATGTTTATTTCTAACCAATAACCTAATGATAACTTTAATTTGAGTGTAAACCCAAATGAGTGTTTTGCACAAAATTCGACCAATCTACGAAGATGTTTTCATGGATCGAATTGATGCTTTTTTTAGAATATTCTAGCTTTTGCTAAAGCTGTTTTTGCTGGCAGAGGGAGAACCATCTAGAGTGTAAGCACTGTGAGCGTCCTCTCTTCTGTAATTAGAGGAATTGACCATCACTGCCACCTAGTGTAAAGAGTGCATTGCATAGAACTCTTAAACGATCTTTTTATGGGATGGATTAAACAATGTACATTTAAAATGATGGCAGAATTTCAATATTTTACTATATTGTCAGGTTATTGTTGCGAAGAAATGAAAACAAATCCTAACAAATTCTCAGTGGTTTGGTCTGATGCAGAAACAAACAAAGAACATTATCATTACATTAGTTTTTCCATTTTCCATAAATCTTACCAGGATTGTTATAATCATTATTAACTTATCAATTCAAATTTCAATACAGGTTTCAGTACAAAACAAAAATAGAATACATAAACAAAACATGATTGGCATGTAAACAGGGAAGGTTTAACTTTTGTGTGTTTTATTTAAATTGAATTTTGTGTTACCATTTCCAAGAATCTCCCCTGGTGCGCAGCGGCGTAGAGACAAACGCAGAGCGTGAGAAGAGATTGTGCCCTAAAACTGGTGGATTTAAGGGGCCAAACAGCCATCGGAACTTGACCTCTTTAAGAGGACTTTAATGAAAACAGAAAAAGGGGGATCAGGGCCAGAGCGTGCGACTCACCGTCCCAGGAGAACGTCTCATCCCACACGGACCACATCTGCACGGTGAAGAACGGTGCCCAGCACACCACGTACGCCACCACGATCACGAAAGTCATCTTGACCGTGCGTAATTTGGCGCGCGAGATGGAGCTCACGCTGCTCACCGAGCTCCTGCCCAGGATCCCGGTCTTGGTGGCCTCTGCCACCGCGTCCGCCCTCTTCTTCCGAGTCTTGTACTTGAGGTTCTTCCAGATGGTCCGGCTGATGAACCCGTAGCAGAACACGAGCACGACCACGGGCACGAGGAAGATCCCGGCCGTGATCCAGGTGATGTAGGCGCGCAGCCCCCACGGCTCCACGAAGTGCCCCCAGCAGTCGTACACGTCGGAGCCGGGGCGCACCTCGCTCAGGGAGAAGATGAAGTACTGCGGGGTGCTGAGCACCAGGCTGCACGCCCAACTGGAGCCGATCATCATGTACGCGCGCTGCGTGGGCTGCTGGAGGGTCTGCAGCGGGTGGCAGATGGCGATGTAGCGGTCCACGGTCATCATCACCATCATGTAGGCGGAGGCGAACATGCCCAGCACCTGCAGGTGCTTCACTATCCGGCACAGGAAGTCCGGGCCGTAGAAGCGGAAGGTGATCTCCCAGCAGAGCTGCGGCAGAACCTGGAAGAAGGCCACCACCAGGTCGGCCAGGCTCAGGTGCCTCATGAACAGGTGCATGCGCGACAGCTTCCGCCGGGTTCTGGACATGGCGAGGAGAACGCTGAAGTTCCCCACCACCGCGGCCAGGAAGGCCAGGCTCAGGACGGTGATCTCGATCTTGGCCACCTCCTCGTTCCGTCCGAACGGGTCGGTGTCGTTGCTCTTCCCGCTGGTGTTCTCCAGGTGCCGGTACAAGCTGGAGGGCTCGGAGAAGTTGCGGCCGGTGGCGTTGCAGGGGGCTTCCATGGTGGCCGCTGCTCCTCCGGGCGCGCGGAGCTGCCTGCGCGCCTGTGCGTAATCGGCACCAAACCGGGTTTGTGGCTGACCAACTCCTCAGCGCTCTGCCGGTGTTGGGAAAAAATCAGGAATGAGACATCTTGTTATGCGTATCTTTGGCATCCCTGCAGCAGAGCACCACTCTTTACAGGAGTCCTGCGTGCAGCCTCATATACTCTCTCACCACGCGCAAATGTAAATCACAGAGGCTGCACACGCGCTACTTCCTCTCTCCTCCTACTGATGAAAGTGACACAAACACAAAAATAACTGAACTCTAACTGGCTTGGAAAATTTCCTCTGAACGTGCGCCCTAATAAAAGTCAAATAAAGTATTTTTCTGACTGAAAAAACATGATGTGGATAGTTTTGTGTAACACAAAAATAGAAATAAAACTGAAAACGGTTGAAAAGAGAGAGAGGGTGTCTGATTTCTGAGCCTAAGCTTCCAGCTGGTTCCTCGGAGAGGGGCCTGACAACTGAAGGCTCTGCTTCACATTCTACTTGAAGAAATGTTAAGAACCACCAGCCATCCTGCAGCCTGAGAGGAGAGCGCTCTGCTGGGAAAAGATCCATTTCAGACATGATGGAGTGTGGTGATTATGAAGTCTTTGAAAAAGTAAGAATTTGACATTCTTTTGTTGAATTTCAAATGGGAGAAAATGATGAGAAGCCAAACTCAAATCTATTTGTTGGCAGATGGTGTTGTCCTTGGAAAAAATTGTTTTCTTAGGCTGCCTAAATGACTTAAAACGCCAAGCAAAACAAGAACTACAGGCAGCAAAAATCATTGAAGAAATGATTCTGACAACAGCAACGGTCTGACAAAAATAACAAAAAGAAATGAAGAATACTGAAGAGGATGATGGGTATGTGGTGGCAGGATAATCGCACAGGTAGGAAAAGAAAACAAAGAATGACCAACGAAGAAAAAACTGAAAGAAATGTAGAAGGAAAAAAGTACAAAACAATCAATAAACCGCAAAAGCACCAAACTCACAAGAAAACTTGTAACTGGAAAAAAGCACAAGTCTAGCAAAACCAGAATCCTAATGAGTTAAAGACCAAAAAAGGACTCAAATGTGCTGACTCAGCACTGTTGCTCCATTCTGTTAATCTCCTGATTTCACTAGCAGAGCATCGTCTGACAGCTGCCCTTCCACTGACGGAGACCTAAAAACCAACTGTTGGTTATCTCAGCCTGGCTGATGGGGTTTTTCTTTGTGCCTTTCTGGAATACAGCCACACCATTTCCAAATGTCCATCCATCCTCGTCCTCCATCCCCGTCCAGAGGTCCAGGAGGAGAACCCAGACGTCCCTCACCACAACAACAATCTCAACCTCCATTTTGATAGATCACCAGGCGTTTCCAGGCCAGAGAAGATATACGATCCCTCCATCGAGTTCCGGGACACCACGCTCTCCGACTGCTCACCGCCATCAATTTCAAATTGATTTAGCCTTTTCTCGACTCGACGTTTGTGGTTTTTGTGTATTTATGGAGTGAGTCAGGACGGGATGCGTGTACCTACATATGCGCAGATAAGCTGATAACCTTTCGGCAGCGCTTGTTTTTCATCTCACAGACTGTTGCCTTGCTCAGGGTGGAACTGAGAAACTCCTACAAGCAGACACTTAGAGTAAATCAAGATACAAGCTTGACTCCGAAAACAGGTGCGAGCTTTTACCAAAGACGATAGACTTTCGTTCAGATTTGGGTTCTAGTTTTCTTGTTTAAATACGAAAGGTTTGACTAATTTAGAAGCCACTCATAGTCAATTGTTGTGGAGGAAACAGGTGGGCAGAGATGCCCACAGCTCTTCAGCGTCAGACTGAGTATTCCCAGGTTTGCCCTGAAGCCTCAGGCTGCCCAGCTGTGCTCCGTAAATCTCTGAAGGGAGGCACGAGCCTTATCAGGGGCTTAAAGCCCCTCAGCTGGTTCCTACCCACGTGAAATTTGAGTTGTCACAATACATCAGTAGTCAGGGAAACAGATATTAAAGGTATGAAATATTGACATGTGCATAATATCATGACTTAGGTTTAAGGTTAAAAACCAGCTCTGGGACCTCCAGGAACACTCGTCCACTCTTTGATCGCCCATGGACGAGCAGCAAACGGGAGCAACTGGTGTTGAAACAATCAGTGCCAGTAAACCCCAAAAGAAAGTTAAATGACATTGTTTTCATTTAAGCTTTATATCAGAATCAGAATCAGAATCGGATTTACTTTAATAATCCCAGAGGGAAATGATTTTTGTTACAAACTCCAGAAATAAAACAACAGTATGTACATGTACATATATACAAAATTCACACAGAATATAAATAAATACATACATAAGTAGCTATATGTATATATATATGTATATATGAAATAAGTGATAATAATTTAGTTAGAATTTACAGAGGGGGGGTGTTTGACTCTCTGAGGGAGGCGTTGTACATCAAAGAGGACCGTGTTTCTGCAGTCACATTGTGAAACTGCCCTGAAATCATCCTGAAAATCTGCACTAATGTTTGGGTTGTGTTTTTATCCTTGTGCACAGCTTTGATGTCATCTTAAACAGCCGGGCATCTCCCGATGCTTTAGACCTGAAGTGCTGAACCAGGGGCTCGTTGGAGGAGAGAGGAGCATTACCACAAACATTTATTCATCAAACCCAAGAGGGAAAAGTCATCACAAATGGAGTAAACATGCAAAACAAGACGGAAAAATTGAGGCAGAGATGTTGAAACCATGAATTTTCCTTTCTATTTTTTTGCATTTTTGTACTTCCTGAACCACCTCTTGAGAGGCACACTGAAAAGAAACAGTAAGTTCCTATTCATAAAAGCAAATGTTAACCCTCTTTGTTGCATTTAATACTTGTGTTTTCCCTTTTTTCATGTTCACAAGGATTTTTGCCGTCTTTTTAATTAGTCCTAAGGACACACATGGAGCTGGACCTGGTCGTGTTCCTCTCTGTGCTGCTATTCCTGTTTCTAGAATACACCCCCTTGTAAAATACATGTTTTGGGACCTCAATCGATTGCTGCTCAAGACAGCAATCGATGCTGGGTGCAAGGGTGAGGGTGGGGAGCATTAGAGAAACACAAACGGCCGTGTGCGTCTGTCCCCAGATGCTGCAGCGTGCTAAATATTTCACTTTTTTTTTCACCGTGTGAGAGAAATGTAAGTGTTGAACGAGCGGGGTAAAGTGTGATCATGTGAGGCTCACTTTCAGTGCAGGCTAGAGGGCCCTGTGTGTGTGTGTGTGTGTGTGTGTGTGTGTGTGTGTGTGTGTGTGTCAGTGCGTAGCCAGCATCTGGCAGCAGCAGAAGCTCAGACGTGAACGATTCTCCAGTGGAATCTGTTCTCCATTCGCATTCAGACGGAGAATCGGATTATGAACCTCTCCTGGCACTTTCCTACATCCTATGCAACGTTCTTTAGCTTCCTGATCAAAACCCCTTTGCCATATTCCAAAAACATGTCAAAATGACATATTTAGCAGAATAAGGACAACTCGCTTACTGACCAAAGTTGGACTCGGTCTTTATAGTCACATCAATTTTCTGAAGATGGTCACCTGCATGAGTTAAGTTTTTTTTTGTCTTTCAGGGAAGAAACTGATAAATTCATTAAACCATTCCAATCTGATAGAAAGAAATTAAACACACAATGATTCTGTTTTCAGTTTGTTTTATCCTACATAAAACAAGCTAACTTAGCTTTGCATCCTCTTCTTTTTGCTTTGTCCTCCCTCCTCCGTCTGACTGATTTACTCCATAACATTTTGCACTCGCTGCCTTACAAGGCCGCAAATGAGTATCTTAATGTTCAATCTGTATGCACAGATCAGAGGAGAGAGGGGTTTAGAAGTCATGGAGCCCGATGCTGTTTTTCATGTCAGAGGCAGAGCCAGCTGCTGATGCAGACGATTACATAATGTTTTGTGATTAAACAATGGTGGGTAATGGTCGGGGCTGTCAGGAGTTATAGATTAATTACTCTATGATTATGGAACCTGTCAGACTTGCATAGTAATGACAGATAAGGCCGGCTGGTGTGCGCTCTGATAAGAGCTCAGATACTGGCACACACTGGAGGGTGCGCATGTTTGAGGTGTTATAGATATTTCATAAAAACACACTTCCTTTTCCTGTTTGTTTAAAGTTTTGTGTAACAAAAGCTACAAATCTGTCGATATTCGTACCTGGTCTGGGTTGATTCTGTCCATGGATAGCATATTAAATCAAATCCAGTCGTACTCTCAGTTAAAGCTTTTGTGATCTTTTTCTGCTGCTTTGAAGTGAGTCAGCTTTATTATTTTGTGGCTGTTTGTGTTGAGTGTGTTTTACACAGTATGTCCTTTTGGATTCCCTTTTGTCAGTTACATCTTTTTGTGCTGCTCCATATCTTTGTGATTATTCATTTGATTTTCCAAGAAGAAATTTAATCACCAGGCTCTGGACAAGAAAACCGTTGACTCTTGTCCCCATGGGCCCTTTCAACAATTCCTTCATCATGACACAAAACAAAAAACACTACATCTCTTATGCCTATTAATCACGTGGCATCTTGCTGTCTTCATCCTGATCTCTTGACAAAATTAGAAATGTCTACATGGGTCCATAGGGTCTCTGTCAGCGGCTTCACAATATGGCCTGAAAAGGTGGATAATTGCTCTATTTTTCAATCTTTTCTTTTCCTCGGCACATTGACGTTCCGTGTCTACACGTGTTCCTTAATGATGAAATCTATGGCCAATTACCGGGTCTTTGTGACTCCACAACACTTTCACTTCATTTCATTGTAGGTTTTACTCCCTCTCACCGTTCCTTTCTTCTCTACCGTGCTGTGAGCTGCACAGCGTTAGAATTAAAATGGGTTAAAGTGGTTAAAGCCATGAATGGATCTCTTTCTTTTACCATGCCTTTCCAGATGATAGTTCCATAGGCCCTAATGCACCCCCAGACCATCAGAG